AATTTAAATGCAATGTCAATCGCCATCTTCCATCTTCTTGAATCCTGTTCACCATTTATCCCTTCCTCAATCCTCCCTATATCCAGTCTTTTCTCTCACTTTCACTCCCTGTAACCCCATGTATACTAGTGGCATTTGGCAGGAATTTAGTATGCTACTAGATTGGCAACTAGGTCTCACCAATTTACTGTTGAAATAGCTAAATGAAATCACCACTTTTAATCCAACAGTTTCTTTTCCCTCACTTCCCACCTGTGGAAGTTCCTTTTGTTTACTTGCTTCCCTGATAACTTCAATCTTCGAAAGTTTAAATGCAACATCAATTACCAAATTCTATATTCTTGAATCTTGTTTATCTTTTGTCCTTTCCTCAATCCTCCCTATACTGACTTTTCTCTCACTTTCACTCCCTGTAACCCAATGCATACTGGTAGTGGTATTTCTGTCTTGCTTGCAGTGAAATGATAAAAAATACTTTTTACTTCTCCTTCTAGTGATCTTACAATGACCTTATTCATTAGCCCTACACCTGATAAACCTTTTCCAAAACAGAAACTATTATCTGGAACTGGAATGAAAGTAGTGAAAGGACATACCCTGAATGAATCATCAATATTCAGTATGTGGAATTAATAAATCCTAAATACTTTAAGTACCTTGGTGTATAGATCAATTAGAACCAATTTAGTATAGAAGATGAGAAGATTGAACATAAAATAGGCAGCACTAGGAGTAGTTTCTTTCAAAACTACAAAAGGTGCTACAGAACCAAAATATTAACATAAGAACTGAAGTCATGCTTTTAAATAGCCTTTTCAGATCTAGCCTCTCATATGGATGTGATGCATAATGTCAAAAGCATTACGAAATGTCTAAACTATATACAACTGTTTTTTCAGATTAATGATTAAAAATGGCTTCAAGTGAATGAATCCTTAAAGACTTAAAGAAGACAACTCTTCCACATATCTTATAGATTGGCACTAAAGAATCATAAAGAACTTTACCAAATAACAACACTCACACCAGTTGAAGAATTCAAATAACAAATGAATAGTACATGTAACTAGAAGGGAAAATAATAATATAATCACAATGTTGATTTTCCACACTACTTTAGACAAAAAGTTAAGAAGAAAACTTCAACCAATACTAGAAAGAGTGATAAAACTTAGTGTTCTTGAGAAGCCTAGTTTCATGAAAAAACTATTTTAATAAAAAGATTTTATAGATTTCAACTGAAAGTAATGCTAACTGTTCAACCAATGAATGCCCAAATGTCACCATTACCATTATAGTATTGCAGTATTGACTCAGTCCTCAAGGTTAAATATCTCTTCCTCCCTCTTTCCTTTTCACATATAGTCTATCTCAGCATTGTCTTTTGGATGCAAACCTTTATGCATTGACATCAGTTTTCTTGTCCAGTATAGGAAAAGTCCTGAGTATCTCACAACAAAAAATGTCTAGATATTTTTTTGATCAATTTTTGATTTGAGTTTGGTTTCTACGTTTTTGCCCTTCAGAGGTATTCTTTGACTACTTTTCCTTCATTTAACTCTGACTATATCTGCTCCCAAAATACACAGGTACTTATAATTTATTTTCAGTTGAGCATTATGATTTTGCGTTTGTGTAATTTGATTCTTTTTGTTGATGCACACATTTTGATTCCAAACTCCATTCCAGTATCTTCATTGAAGATCCAGACTTATGACATGTGCATGAAAAAGTTTCCAGCACATTTTATTAAAACAACTGACTAGTCTTCTACTGTTTAGTCTTTTTCTAAAAGGAGGATCCTGGGAATATATTTAATGTCTTATATATTAACCTATCATACTAGATGTCATGTAGTTGTCATCGTGGTGTATTTATCATTGGATAAGTGCCCTCAAATCTCCAACACTTTCTTCATTATTCTTATAGACTCCAGTACTGCCTTGATGTAAATAGTGTCAATTCTTCCATGAGTTTACAATTCAGCCAATCTTACCATCAGAAATTTTCAGGTGGTTCCAAGTACACTAATCATGACAGGTATCTGTTGTAATTAGTTAATTATATCACTACAATATATTAATTATGTGCTAACCTCCAATATTTCATAATTACTTTAGTTCTAAGATCAGGTCCTGATATTTTCTATTTTTCTTTCTTTCACTTTCATGTATTGGCCCTGAGGTAAAACAACGTGTATGATCTAACAGTTTTTCATTGACTCAGTGACAACACTCAATTTCACTTAAATAAGATGTTTCATTTAAAGCTCAAAAACCCAGAGTATTTTAATTTTTTTATTTTCTAAAAAGGTTTGTATTGATAGATATAATATTTTGACATTGGTTGAACCCAAGTCATTTGCACAGTTCTCAGAATATGACTATTTCTTCTCTGTCATATTTTTATATTCAATGTGACCCACTTTGTAAAATTCAACTGTAATGTGATTGACACTCTTGTCTCTACAAAGATAATATTTACTGCTTTTCTGTATTTTGTCTAGTTTGTTTTGTTTATGCTGTACTTGTTGAGTTTTCACACAGAATTTGGAAATGGTAATAATAGCTGTTTCCTTATAAGGAAACATTTGGTATTCATTGACTGAACAGTCAGTGATACTTTTGGTTGAAATTTATATCTTTCTCTTAAAACAATTTTACAGGAAAATAGCTTTGTCAAGTCCGCTGTTATTGCTCTTTTCAGTATTGAAGGTGGTTTTCTTCCTTGCTTTTGGTTTGAAGTAGTATAAAACATCAGCATCTTGATTATTGCTATTATTCACTTTTTGAGTTACATGTGCTATCCATTTTAGTTGTTGCTGTTGTTGAAAGTCCTCAAGTGATGTGATTTCTGTTACAGTTTTTTGTTTGTGATTCTGTAATGCTAGTCTATAAGTTTCAAAGAAGGGTGGTTCTCACTAAGACCTACATGCTTCAGTCATTTGAAACCATTTTTAATCATTGACATGAGAAAGTGGTTGTATACAACAAACAGTTTAGATATGTCTGAATGAGTTTGGCACCATACATGGTATCCATATCTGGCAAGGCTATTCAGGATCATGACTCTAGTTTTTATATTAATGTTTTGCTTTTGTAGCAGCTTGTAGCATGGGGTAAAACTACTTCTAGCACAGTATATTCTATGTTCAATTTCATTATTTTCTATACTAAATTTGTTGTAACTTATTGATAAACTGAGGTATTTGAAGTGTTTAGTATTTACTAATTCCACATCCTGAATTTTTATGATTGATTCAGGGTAGATGTCGTCACTGCTTTCATTCCAATCCCAGATCATAGTTTCTGTTTTGGAAAAGTTTATCTTGAGTTCTATTTCTTGGAATACTTGGTAGAAAATGTTAATTTTTTTTTGTTCAAGTTCTTTCTTACCTAATTTTAGTTGTTGCAGCTGTGGAAAGTCCTCCAGTGGGATGGTTTCTGTTATCATGTACACTAATTTGTTTGTGATTCTGTATTGCCAGTTCACGAGGTTTGATGAAGGATGGTCCTCACTAAGGCCTAAGTGCTTCCCTTGCTTAAAGCAATTATTAACCATTGATCTGAGAAAGCTGTTGTATACAGCTGATAGTTTAGATGTTTCTGAATGTGTTTGGTGCTGTTCATGGTATCCATATGAAAGCCTCAATCTGATGTGGCTATTTAAGAACATGACTTTTTAATGTTAATGCTTTGGTTTTGAAATAGTTTGCAATGTTGTGTGAAATTATCACTAGCACAACCTAGTTGATGTTCTATTTCCTTATCTACTTTACTAAATTTGTTATAACTGATCCATACATCAAAGTATCTGAAATGTTCAGTATTTATTAGTTTCATATCCTGGATTTTTATCATGGATTCAGGGTAGGTGCCATCATTGTTTTCTTTCCAATTCCAGATCATGATTTCATTTTTGGAAAAGTTTATATTGAGTCCTGCTTTTTGAAATACTTGGTAGAGGATGTTGATTTTTTATTCAAGTTCATTCTTGTTTTGAGATTATTATAGTAATGCTATTATCTTGATGGTTTCACTTCTTCCATTCTTTTTGCAAAACTCTTTAGGAAAACTAAGCATACAAATAATAATGGTTATGATTTTATGTTCCATTATTTTTAATATTAATATTGATAATTATCTGTAAAAGGTTTATTTGCTTCTGATGTGCTTTGTTGAAAGATTTTAGCCTCAATGTCAAGATGAACATTTATAAGTTGAAAACTCAATACCTTAAAGAGCATTATGAGTTGGAATAATAAAAATTAAAAGCATTAGTGTCTGGAAAGCCCATTTAGTAGCCTCTCCATAGATAGATATATTTCTGTCATTTGATTTTTGTCTTTGGGGCTGTTAAGTTGACTTTTTTTGCACATATAAAGGATATATTTTTTTATGATCTCAAAAGCACTATTAATGGAATGAAACAAAATAAAATAAAAATCTACCAGATGAAAATATATTATTTTTCAGAAGCTAAATTTTCATTTTTATGATTACACATAGTAATACTTTTCCCCAGCTCCTGTAACTACGTCACACCAAATGACACAATGTACTCCATTTTCAAACATGAGCAGAGAACTCATCTTGGTACAATATAAAGAATCAAAATGGTCATAAAAGGTAGAGGGACAAAATATTGTTTCATGCAAGATAAGTTTCACCCATTTTTGTATTTAACACTTTTCTTTTCTTTTTTTTTTAACGTTTGTTGTTTCATAGTCTTTTTTTTTCATGTTGTTGTTGGTGAGTTGCCCTCTGGTGGGAAATCATGGAAAATATTTTTGTCTCTCTTTCAGCTTGAATGGTCATTCGTCATAGTAGAGTAGGCAGTTAATCAATATTCCACTTTCAAATTATTTCTGACCAAAATGAAAGAAGGAAAGAAAATTAAAATAAAGTAGGCCAAAGAAAGGAAGAAAAAAAGAACTTGAATACATGTGTGATGAAGAAGAATGCTTTGGGTTATGGAGAAAAGAGAGAATAGAAATGAAACTAGAAAATTAAAAAGAAAAAGAGGAGAGACAGATAGGAGAATGAGAAAAGGAAGGCAAACATGAGAGGGTAAATGAGGAAGAATAAGAGAGAAAAATAAAAAAGAAAGAAAAGTAAGAGATTAATGTAAGAGAAAGAGGGGAGGGGAAAGGAGAAAGAAAAGATGAAATTATAATGAGGGGAAAGAAAATAATGTTGCAAGAATAACAGAATGGGAACAAAAAATGAATAGAAATGGAAGAGAAAAGTGATAAAGAGAGAAAACAGAATGAGAAGAAAAAAGCAAAAGAAAGAAAAATAAATGAAAAGTAGATAGGGAGAAGAAGAAAAAGAATAAAAGAACATGTAGCAGAATAAGAAAGAAGATTGAAAAAGAGAGAAATTGATGAATAAAGCAGCAGAGAGTAAATTAATGAATAAAAGAAATTTAAAGTTGATGTAAAGAGAAAAGTAGTGAAATGTTGAAGGGCATAACACAAAAAAATAACACTTCATATGAATTCATCTCATTTGCTAATAATTGAAGAAATATGTTCCATCAACTGCAACCAGTTTTAGCCTACTTTTGTTTTTTTTTTCATATTTTTTAAACCATGCATAGGGCAGTAATACTTGTTCCTTTCATTTCTTTATCCAGCCTCCTTTTATTTAAGCTTTTTTTTCATCAATGGTGTTTGTTATTTATAGCAGACTGCTGATTTCTGAATTATATCCAGTAGAACATGTTCAACAAGTTATAACATCAGGATTGTGCATTACAAGAGACAAATAAAAAGAGAAAAATTAGAAAAAGGAAAAACCCTTTCAAGCATAACCAGAGGAATTGTTTATTCATCATAAGTGTGGAGGACTTGTATCATTTTATCCATGAAATAATAAAATCTTAGTCACTTTTATCACATTGAGTGAATACTGAATAAAAAATACTAGGTAATAGAAAGCAGAAGAGGTTAACTTCTTAGGTTAGTCTCTTGAAAAGAGACAGCGAAAGCTTTTCTCTTTGGAAATTTAATCATAACTTTAAACTACATTGTAACTTATGTAATATCAATCCTCTCATATCACAGGTAATGCTGGAAAATATCCTCACAGATGAAGAGAAAACTTGAAGCAAAAGAGATAGTGTTCTACAGAAGGATGATGAGAATACCATGGATGCTACATGTAAGCAATGAAGAAGTATTAGGGAAAATGAAAAAAAAGACACTTAAAATTTCTAGGACACATAATGAAAAAAGAAGGGTTAGAAAATATGATATACTGAAGCCAAGAGAGACAAAGAAAAAATAGAGAATAACCTAATGAGTTTGTTTAAATGTTTTAAGGATAGTAATTTAATTTTATTAGCAAGAATTATGACTGATTCTAATTTCAAGAAACCCAACAAAGATCACCATTATTAAGAACTAGCAGGATGGACTGGCATTGCCCGTGCTTGATTCATAAATCATACGACTCATACAGCAATCGCTATCACTTGACTTAAAATATTTTTGCCCTTCCTTGCCTTTAAAGGAGTGCCCTTTGCCATGCTGATGTTGCTACATGCCTTACTTCTTGCCTATCTCACACTGCGATTTTTTCTAAGCTCTATACTAAACATTAAATCTGTTACGAAAAAGAACTAAAAAAAAAAGGACAAAACAATCAGCTTTAACTGGAAAAAACAAATGAAAAAAGAATGTTAACAACAAATACTTTTTCACACCCAACCCTGTTCTGCGGAATCAGAATCAACATTGAGTTTAAGCAAGCGAATGAGCCAATTGGAGTAAAGTGCCATGCAGAATTAAATTTTTCCCACTTGTGACGAATACAGCTATCGATTTTTTTGCATGCTAACATGCTAGTTAACATTTGTGTCAGTCAGCTGTTGGCTTTCACGCTGGCCAATAGAATCTTCCTGCCTATTTGTGGCAGCCAGCTATAGGCTCTCACTCTGGCCAGTACAAAATGGCCGCAAACTACATGAAAACTGCCGTAGAAGCATGAAAAAATCGATTATTTCCATTATCAATGGGAGTTGGGAAATGCAAAGTCAGTCTTGGCCTTCCAACTAACTTGGAGCATGTGCATGTAAATTTTGGTGCAAATCCATTGAAAATTACGGCCACACACACACACACACACACACATCCTGCCTTTTATAGATAGAGATAATAATTCAGTAAGTTTCCATACATTTTTTTTAGAAAAGACTTGGTAAATTGGAATTACTATATTTAAGCAATTACACTTTTTAGACATGGATACTATACAGAAATGCCAAATGGTCCATGTTCTGTTATCCGAGTTAAGATTTAAATAAAGTATTCTGACCAATTCGTTAACTCACTTTGAATTTCTCTGTAATTATGCATGTATGCAGGCTCATGCACACATACATACAATTCTTGTTTGTTATTAATAGGGCTAACATTAAAATTTAATTAGGAGCAAATCACACGATTACAAACTTAGAGTAGTTAGATAGAGTGATGAATAACAGTCAAAATGATAATGTTAATAAACATGTTTTATTTTTAAATTTTCTCCCAGCAAAAATTTTTCAATAATTTCAAGTATTCTTCCTTTATGTGTTGTGTCCCTTGAGTGTGTGAATGACCATGACTCTCCACAATTTCCTGTTCTTTGCAGTTCTTAGTAAAATTTATATTTTCACTGTCTCTCCTAATACCTGTTCTGCCAACCATTTACTCATCAGGTAAGATATGCATTGTTTTTCTGTCTCTCTTGCCTTTAATATATCCTGTAAGTGCCAAGTTTTCTAAGCCCTCTTTCTTTATTATGTGCTTTAAAAATTTCAATTATCTCTTCCTTATGTTAGTTATAAGTTTCCTTTTTGTTTTCATTTTCTCTAAAACTGTCATTGTTCACATGTTCAGTTCATGGTATTCTCAGCATCCTTCTGTAGAACTACATTTCTGTTACCTCAAGTCTCTTCATGCAAAGAGATAGTCCTTCACTCATTCTTTTCTTTATTTCTAATATGCCTCCAATTTGTAATTCACATGTTGGGCTGTTCCTTTTGCTGACAACTAGACTGTCTTCAAATTTCAAGTATATTTATACAAAAGCATAGAACATTTATTGTATATTAATGTCACATATTTTCTTCTTATTCAATAAAACAAGAATAGTTGTGAAAAAGACGATGAAAAGTGCTTGCCTCATTTTTCTGATCCAGGATTGTACTGAGCAAAAATCTTTTTCCTAAAAAGATTAGATTTTTATGGAGATCCCCCCACCTATGCTTTTTAATATTTTGAATTGTCCTAGTAAACATATTTTTCATCTCCAGTAACAATCTTTCATTTCTTTTTCATTTCTGGAAGGTAGTGAAATGATGTTCAATGCTTCACTCTGATAATTCATATGATTTGAATTTTACAATGATGTTCACTGTACAAAACCCAAGGGCCACTCAAAGTAGAGGGTTACAGAGTATATTTAGTAGTATATAGAAAACATACTGTATTACAAATTACTGAAATCTATTGAAACTATTACTGAAGATAATTGCAGTTATTACCAAACTTTGTGAAGTGCACCTGAACAAAAAAGGACCCCTCACAGAACTTGGAAGCTGAAAAGTGATACTGTTCTTTGACATGTTGCTGTATCAATTCAAAAACCATAATGGTTTTAGAATGGGGAACTTCTTCCTTATATTTTTTATTATTTTACCACAAACAAGATGGTAATACTACTAGAATGCAAAGGGGGTTACAGTGAATGAAAGTGTAAGAGAAAGAGAAGACTGAGAATGAAGAGGATAGAGGGAAGGACAAATAATCAACAGAGTTCAAGAAAACAGAAGATATTTAACTTTTAAACTTTTGAAGATTGTAGTCATCAGGGAAGCAGGAAAATGGTATGGAATTCTACAGGTAGGAAGTGTGAGAAAAGAAACTGTTGGAGTAGAAGTGGCAGTTGCATTTAGTTATTTTAGCAGTAAAATGATGGGACCTAGTTGCCAATCTAGTAGCATTCATGTCGTTGGGACACCAAGGAAAAAAGTTTGTCAGAGCAGTTGCCATGAAAATATTTCTAGGAAAGAGGGAATATACATCACAGTGGTGAGAAAGTGAGTGAAGTTGAGATGCCTGGTCAGATTCTTCTTTGGATTTTGTCAAGAATCTTGAGATGTACAATAGGAACACCAGACCAGATATGGTAACAGTATCAGTAGTGTTTCTAGTGTGTTTGCTTCCCCTCCCCAGAAGGAATACAATATTACAATGCACACATTAACCCCTTAAAGTTCATTATATATATTAGTCAACAACAAAATTATTCATACACCCATCAATTTTTTATATTTTTATCCATTTCTCAGAATCTAATGCCTATATGATGCCAGGTTTTTTCTGTGTTTCTTTTAAAATGGTATTTACAACTCTTCACCAATAAATTATGAAATAAAAGTACAATTGTGTTCATTTTTTTAAAAATAAAACTGGGATATGTAAAAAAATGAAGACATTGCTTTTTTTTCTAAATAGGGAAAATTTAGAAACATTTTATGATATTAAAAGAAAGATAACTTGTTTATATATCCTCTGTTTTATTTAAAAAGAAAAACAAAAAAAACACATTGTACATTTTTAATTCATAATTTATCAGTTTTTTTAAAATTTACTTTAATTCTAACAAGTGAGGAGTCATAAATTAAATGCCACATTAACAGAAACACAGCCCGTTTTTCTTTTAACAATGTAAAAAAAATGCAATGTCTTTTTAAATTATTTTGTTTTATGTATTTGAAGTTATTATTAGCAAAGTAGTAGACTAAGAATTAAAAGTCCAATAAAATTAATTTCACTTTTAAAAACTGAAATAAATGTTATCATACTTTTAATTCTTAGTCTGTTAGTTTCATTAAGCAAATAAAACTTCAAATATCTAAACAAAAAATAAAACATAGCATTGTTTTACTACCATGAAAACTTGTAAATTGAAAAATTGAAAAAAGTACCCATTTTTGGACTTTAAATAAAGTTTCTACACTTAAAAAAATATATTAATTTTCAATTTACTTTTAAGTTTCTGTTCAATATTTCCATAAAAAAATTTGAATGCATCTGATATACTTAAAGCATTGGAATTATTTCAATTTATTTATCTATCAATTTTATAATTTATGAAAAGTAATGATTTCATATCTGTCTTAAAGTTAGGCCTATGATAAGATAAAAAACAAAAAAACAATTGGCTCACTTATTTATTTAATTTTTTTTCACTAACAATTGACAGACATGAAAAATCAAAATCAAAGAACTTATGCCAAAGTCTGGACTTCTCACATAGGTGTGAAAAAACTGTGGATTCACTAAATTCACTTAATCCAACCTCACATCAAGCTCTTTAAAAATGTTCAAATTTTTCTGCACATTTTGCTCACGTCTTGTAAGTGGGGATTATACCAGCCAGCTGACAATGCATTTTGGAGACAATTTTTTTTTTATTGCTGGCTGGCTGGCTTTGAGCCAGCC